GTGCTACAGACTTAGAGAACAAGCTGAACAAAAAATTGAGAATTTGTGTCGGTTTATTTAATTATTATACTTTTGCCCTCGTCATAAATTGCATTGTCACGGGGAAGTAATGCAAATTTGTTCTTTGAAAATTTTTGAATTGGAGAATGACTCAAGACGCCATTCGACGAAGACTATATTCGCGATGACAAATTAATTAGTGGATTACAGCGAAGCCCATGTTAGATTCTAAGGCAGATTTTTTTTTTTTACATATATAACTTGACGAAACCAGCCGTGCGTCTAAAATAGCTCGGCCGCTTCTGGCCAATACCGAATTCTGTTTGTTCTCTGCGAGTGCGTAATGCATTCTGGTGACAAGCGTAGTCGTAAAGTGCACTTTTTTTTCTCTTTGCGACTCGAGATACGACGCCCGCGAGCGGTGGTTTCATCTAATCTCGATTGGTACAGATGGCCGTGTTCTTGATTCATCGCCCCTCTCATCCTCTCACCTCGTCCCCAAGGCTCGCGTGCCGGCGGAGTTCCAATTCAAAGTCGCCGTGGACAACGGAGGCCGGCGGGGGTTGGGGTGCCGTGTTGTTGTGCAGGAGCTGTGGGGAGCGGTGGTGTAGCGGTTAGCGCTACGCTGCGCTACTAATCCGGGCGACCCGAGTTCGATTCCCGCTCACGGCCAACACCAGTGACGATTATCTGAACCGGTCCTGGGCCTCCCCTAGGTTCACGCAGCCTCAAAAGAGTACCTAATGTGGTGTGTAAACATCATCACTGGGGAGACAGGCGGCCGGGCATAGGGTTGGCCGTGCCGGCCTTCATAGGTGATCGCTAACAGTACTTGCCCCAACAGTCTGTTACAGGCTATACGGGGGATCTTTGTCTTTGTGTTGTTGTGCAGGGGCTGCCACGATGTAATGTAACAATGAAATCCCGTAACTTGGTAGTTTTATTTCACATTCCTCCTGCATTGTTTTGAGTGCTTTTCTGTAATTCTAGCTCGAGTTAAGTTTTAATTAAATTTCTTCAACTGCGGTTACCTCAACATAAGACTGCCATAAGTCATTTTATAATCAACCTGACAATCTTGAACGCTTATAATGCACGTATTGCCAGTTTCTTAATACATAATTAAATACTTTAATTAAAAGAGCTACGAAAATTAGTTTTGAGTTTTCTTTTTTACTCCCAGAATCAAATATTTGTAATGCACCGTATCTAATATCAGTTGACGTGCCATTAAACAGCCTCAGCAAGCGCAAATCATAGATTTTTGTAAAAGTTTTTCCGCGAAAGGATTGTATCGCACCTCCGATTAGCATGGTTGGCTACACGTACGGTTGCGAAAGAAGTTCAGCGTACATAATTCTGGTAGGAACCTCCTGGTTACACCAGCCCACAGGGGATTTCTGTGTCCGTCCGTCGTGCAGGGAGGGGTTGGGTGGGGAGGGAGGGGCTGGGTGGGGAGGGGAGGGAGGGAGGGGCTAAGTGGGGAGGGTGGGGCTGGGTGGGGAGGGTGGGGCTGGGTGGGGGGTGGGGCTGGGTGGGGAGGGGCTGGTCACCCCGTGGTGCCCTTATAAAACTCAACGTTTAACCTACTCACGCCGGCTTGTGCCCGCCCTCACAGTCGGGCATATTTGCGGAACACACCACGCTGCCGTTGACCCTGGCCATTGACTGAGCAACCCAACGTTCCTACCAGCTCCCTCCGCAGGAATGTGTTAACTGCTGTAGGTTCACTCGCTCGTGCTTGCTGTACGCACCTCTCCGACTCGTTTTCGGGTTTTACCGCGTGCCGTTCGGCACGATGTCTGACGTTTCACTCGACGTGCTGGGACCTTCTTCGTCAAATTTTAAGATGCGCTTTCTGTCGGCAGTCTGGAATGTTCTTCCTTCTGATATTAGGAAATCTAAGTTGAAAAGAATTTTTTTCGAGCTGCGTTTTGTATTTAGTTTGTCCTTTACCCCCCCCCCCCCCCGCACCTCCGATTAGCACGGTTGGCTACGTACAGTTGCAAAAGAAGTTCAACTTACATAGAACTCTAAAACACATATCGGAAAGATTTGTCTGACCATTTTGCTCGTCCGCTCAATGTTTATTTTATGTGGTACGACAAAAAAATGTGCCCGCTCAAAGCCACACGCAATTCCAACAATTTTCACAGCACGATAAAACGTCCTGCTGCGTCTTCACATTTTGTGTTTTACATTCCCATTTCCTCCGAAACTATCGCTGAGCTGTTCGAACATCTTCATATTGCGTCGTTTGAGTAAGTAAGTGGTGGAGAAAATAAGTTTTCTATTGGCCAGAGGCCAAACCGTCATTCCAATTGCTTGTTTGCTCCCCCGTCGCTGTTGCGCGGTTACGCAAGGCTGCCTCTCGTTGGAGCGGTGGCCTTCACATCTCTCGTATCTCTGCGGCACCGCTGGAGCCGGTCCTCGCCCACGGTGCGCGTTGTGAGTCGCACGTACTAAACTCCTGAGCTCGTTCGTTCGTTTCTCAGTCCGCTCGTCCTGCTGAGGGTCGCGGCGGCAGCATGTTGAGTAGGGGGCGGTCCAGACCTCCTTTTGTCTGGTGACAGACTCCAGCACTACACTACTATACACTATACACTACTATACACTACTATACACTATACACTACTATACACTACTACACTATATACTACTATACACTACCATACACTACTATACACTACACTATACACTACTATACACTATTACACTATACACTACTATACACTACGCTATACACTATACACTACTATACAATACTACACTATACACTCCTATACACTACACTATACACTCCTATACACTACACTATACACTACTACACTATACACTACACTATACACTATACACTAGTATACACTACACTATACACTACTATACACTACTACACTATACACTACACTATACACTACTAGACTATACACTACACTATACACTACTACACTATACACTACACTATACACTACTACACTATACACTAGTATACACTACACCAGGGGTCGGGAACCTTTTGAGTGGGAGAGCCATAAAAGCCAAATATTTCTAAATATCTTTCATTGAGAGCCATATAGTATTTTTAACGTATAATAAATTAAATATGTCTTACTTTTAATGCGACTTCTGGTCACGGGACCCGTGACCCGTGAAATTTATCTTCAAAACTAATTTCTGTTTACTTTAAAAAGACACAGTATTCTTAAGCAATATCACAAGTATTTAAAATCAGTTCCAAACTGATTTTTTTTTTCAACTCAAAATTGTCTGGGAGCCATATGCCGTCACCGGAAGAGCCATATATGGCTCGCGAGCCATAGGTTCCCGACCGCTGCACTACACTATACACTACTATACACTACTACACTATACACTACACTATACACTATACACTACACTATACACTACTACACTATACACTACACTATACACTACTACACTATACACTAGTATACACTACACTATACACTACTATACACTATTATACACACCACTATACACTACTATACACTACACTATACACTATACACTATTATACACAGACTCTAGGGGTATTCCCAGGCATTCCCAGGCCAGCCGAGCGACACAGTCCCGCCAGCGTGTCCTGGGCCAGCCCTGGGGTCTTTGCCCGACTGAGCTGTATAACTCTTTTTCAAAAGCGACCTGGCCACAAATGATAGCTCAACGAAGTGGCTTATCATTCCGTGGAAGTTTCTAGCAGTCAAATACTCTTCAACGCGTGTTTCTAAATGTGGAGGGAAAAAAACGGAGGACCTGGAGAAAATCCACGCGACACGGGGAAAACACGCAAACTCGAAAATACAGGCGTCAGGGTTTGGATCGAACCCTCGCCCTCCTGTGTATACCAGGCGAGGTAGTTAACATCTCGCTGCGATACGGTCCGGTTCCCCCTGGCTTCAGCAGCGGCAACCGCGCGGCAAATCAACAAATCCCTTGGCCGTATTTCCAAGCGTTCGGCTCGCTCCGAACTCGGACGGATTTTGCTCGAAAGCAGCTGTTCAATGTCATCATTGGACCTCACCCCGAGCCGTCGTTACTTTGATATTGCATTGTCTTTGAGCTGTACGCCTTTTGGCGTCCTCTGGTCGAGCACCAAGTTTCAAGTTCATTTATTAGGTATAGCCCTGTGAGCCATTCGGCTCTTGAATCTGGTGCAACCGCAACAAACAAAAAACAAAAACATGAACAAGAAAACATCTTAAAGTGAATATGTGAGTAAGTGCAAACAGAAAATCCAAGAAAAGACAGCAAAATATTGCAGAAAAAACACCGTACACCAACTAGTTGGGTCGAGGCTCAAAAGAAAGCCGTCCCTTGGTGTGGACCAATCAGTTTCAAGGATAATGCATATATTATGATAGTGTGATTTTTTTTGCATTTGACTGCAGGTATTGTGGTTAATGCAGACATGAATCCTCGTAAAAAGGTTTCAGTTTTGTTGCCAGAAAAAAGTGGAAAACCCCGATTATTACAGCTGTTCACTGATCACAAGTCGTCCTGCGGCTCTCGCGCATCTCCTGTTCCCGACTGTTGAGTCGGCGGTGAAAACTCCACGTTCTCACGGTGGAGGAGACTGCTTTTGTGGGACATCCACTGTTGACCTCCCTTAAAGCGACATGACACTCAAACCAATATTTTAAATTTCATAGCTTTTCATCGAGCCGAAATTGAGTCCACAACCGCATTTAATGCGTTGGGATTTGTTGTTGCGCAGCCATTGGTGAGCGGGCTTCGCCCATAAACCTACAACACTTGACAACCTGGTTTAATCACTGCCGGCTCAAACCTGGATTCGAACCCAGGCTCTCATCCGTGTCAGCTGATCGCTCTGACCTTTTGAGCCACCTCTAACAACCACGAAATATATATTTTCTTGCTGCAAGCAACGACGGTGCTGCTGCTGCTGCTTTGCCTGCTTGTGAACGTTTGATGTTGCGCCGGTTATTTGATTCGCGCTCCGCCTTGTCTCCTGCCTGCAGGTCGTTCAGCCTGCTTGTAAGGGATTTTGAAGGCAAGAGCTACAGCATGAGCGTTATCGAGCTGCTGCATCCCATCGACCCCGCCAAAAGCTCCTGGAAGGTAACGCTGCTGCCGCCGCCTCCACCCCCCCCCTTCCCCCCGCCGCAAGAATCTCTCCCCTCCGTCTCTCTGCTTCTGCTATCCTGGTTAATGCAGTGTAGTGTGGAGCGCCGCGGTGCACTGATCTTTACCAAAGGCAAATCTCCTGCAGAGCTCAGCGGATCCCCGGATTATAGGCACACCGGTCCCAGAGCAATGTAAACAAGAGGCGGGCACTCTGCAGGGCCCGTGGCCCCCACTGCCCACTGCAGCAGGCAGACAGCCCTTAGGCAATGTTGGGCCTTTGTGTGGTTAGTGCCCCCTTTAATAATTAAAATAAGCAAAGATCCAACCCTCCCTCCCCCCCCCCCTACGTAGAGCCTTAACAAACTGTTGGGGCAAGTGATGTTGGCGAGTAAGCACCTATGAAGGCCGGCACTGCACACGAGGTAGATGCTGCTCTGAATTTCCTCTCGATAAGCCACTTCATCGAGCTATCATTTGTGGCCCAGGTCGCTGCTGAAAAATAACTAATAGCTCAGTGGGCTTTACATGGTAAATAGTTTAGTTTTAGTTTATTTATGTTTTGTGATTTGCACTTCTATACTCCGTTTGTATTATTTGTTGTTGTAACTTTCTGACTCGACCCTGCTGAACATCGGTAAAAAGAAAAAAGCTTCATTGCTCATCGGATGTCTCCTGGATAAATACAGATTCTGATTCTGAGTTTGGTGGCACATTTGATAATTGTCAAAACATTTTGACCACTCTAAAAAGTTCCACTCCACAATTATTCCCATAGGTCCGAAGTCAGTTTAGGAGCAGCATCGTGACCACACTACCGTTTAATGTTGATGGCCCTCTCCCAAATGCTTGCCTGTATAGAATATACTCTTCTGCTTCTTCGTGCCTTTGCCGTTGAGGCTGTTGAGACGTAACCGTCTTTACTTTTGTTTTTCGGTAAACTCACGTAGGTAAAAACATTTTTTTTATGAAAACAACTAAATTAAATCACGACGTTTCGGGCGCAACACAAGCGTCCGTCTCTTCACCGTCTCTTCACTGATATCTCCCTGCAGTTGTCCCTCTCCACTTCTCTCTGTCCGTCGCTGCGTCTTTCAATCGAGACGGCTTCCATCGCCTCCACCGTTTGGTCTTTGACTTCCAGTCGGGTCGAGGTCTTCCGCTTCTCCTAGCGTTGTACAGCGTTGCCTCCATCACAGCCCATTGCAGCCGGTCGCCATCATCCTGACCACGCGTTAGTAGTTGTACGTAAACGTATTCGTGATGCAAAACAAGGCAAAAAAAAACTGATGTAAATAAGAAATAAATAATCAAAATTGTCATCGGGTGTTGAAATTCCACGACGTTTTCATTACAAGGAAACCAGCGTAAGCACTTTAGAGAAATTAAAAATTTTGTACTATGAGTCACACATAAATAATTCATTTCGCAGCAGGGCAGCATGAGGTTTATTTATTGAACATGTTTTTTTCCTTGGAATGGAGCTGCTCAGTTTAGTGGAATTAATCTGTGCAGCGAGTGTGTGAAGATGAGCCGGTAGCGGAACGAGCGCTTAATTAAACAACGTACCTCACGCTACATCGCTTCATTGATCGTTGCAGGTGAAGACCGATTCCGTGCTGGTGATGTGCCGAAAAACCAAGGAGGAGACATGGAAGTTTCTCACGTCCTTGGAGAAGAAAACTCTTGACAAAGAGTAAGTAACGTGGCAAGAGGGGCAAAGGCGAAGCCCTGCAATCGCTTGCTCACGCCACTGCTGCCGGAAGAGCCTCCACTCGAGGCAGCTCTAGAGATCCCCCTGCAGAGGTGAAACTTTGGCCTACTCTTTCCCATGCTAGCCAGACACCTTGGGAGGGGTGCGAGTGCCCACACTCTGCCCCACCGCACGCGCCCTGCCGATCGACTGACCGTAGTTGAACGCCGTGTGCAACCGCTGGGTGGACAGAGGCGGCTGGGAGGGAATCGAAAAACTCGCGCGCCGTTGTTTCAGCCGCTGTGCCGGGAGATCAAATCGAACCGGCGACCTCTGGATTGCAAGTCCAGTGCGCTCATCGTTACGACGTCGGCACCGCCCGGAGGGTGAAGTATGAATAATTAACTCCTGGCAGCTTCGTGCGGCGGCGCCTCACCGTTCCGCATGCGTCACGCGTGCACGTCATCGTTTTTAGCGGCGGGGCACTGTCGTTTTTGCAGTGGGTGGTTAATTTTGAGCTCGTTAAGTAACTTTCCCGATTTAGATAGCGGGGCACGGCGTGCTTGGCGGTGTCGGGGCTGCCGCCCGGCGCTGGAGTTTAACTTGGGTGTTGAACCATGGAGGAGGACCCGTGGGTGGAAGAAGGGTTTCGTTATCTCCGCCGTGCCTGATGCCATTGTTCACGGGCTGCTTTGTGGGGGCCTCTAGCCCCGAGCTCGGCGTGATATATCCATTCACATTCCGCTTTATTTTCGTAACTGGAAGCCGTACCGCGGGGCCTTCGTGGAAGTGAGGCCCTGATTATTGTACGGTCGACTATTTACATCGTTTAGTTTCGGAGATCACGCGAGCTCGTGGCGTGTGGGAGACACCGCTGCCCCAGCATGCTCACCTCCGCTTTCAGCCACACTCCTTCCAACTTCCATCCCTGGTGCATCCGATCACACGCCACTCATTACCCCCTGCTGCTCCGCAGCCAGTATCTCAGCGCAAAAGGAGAATGCGCGCGGTTAATTAACGCTCGCACCTGTTTGCGTGAAACAGACTCGCGAGGAGACAAGTCATTGCGCGGCTTACCGAGAACGCGGGCCCTATTTAGCATTGCCAACTGAAAATAATAATACAACTAAAACCATTTCCTAGGTCTCCCGCCGCTTCAGGAGCACCGAGGCTATAAATCACTGCAAGCAATGAAAGTAGCAGAGGGGTGTGTGCAGCGCACGGGTGAGTGGGTGGGTGGCTCGGAGATTGCCGTTGGGGTTAGGCGCGGGTGTTGCTCTCTTGCTGGTTTTTGCGAGACGCGGCGGTGCCGATGGAGTGATTAAGGAATTCCGTAGAGGCCCTTCTCATTTACTTAGCTCCCCCTCTGCACTTTCTCCGGTCACCTACTAATCAGGTGACCTTAGGAACCTCCTGCGAAACGGCTTGGAAAAGCGAGGAGGCGCTTTGAAATATGGAACGCGCACAGCTGTGAATGACGATCGCAATGAAGAGATGTAAACTTAAGCCGACAAACAGTTCAGTGGGCGATTAAGCGGTGCGCTCCGGTTCAGAGATTGAAATTGATTCCTGCGCTCGTGATACGTGCATCGCGTTGTGCATGTGAGAATCAATTATTTTAGATTCAGATATTTATCTGTACTTACTTTCCATGAACCCTGCATCCACTGCGTTCACCACAATGTTAAATAATGATTTTTTTGTTATTGAATCATGACCCAAAATTGCGACAATTCATCGAATCAACGATGGTTGAGGGGGAATCATTACATGTCTCATAAATAATAATTAGTTAAGCTATATTGATCCACTGTCCTGCTCAGTGAAATCGTTACTTATCCGTTTAAATGTCTTCTTCCAGCCCACAATGTTATCCCGATCGTCATATTGGCCTCATCTCGTGGGATTTATCCGTTCAGGTCCCTCACAAAGCAGTGTGAAAGCCCTTCATGTTAGAGCATGGCCCAAAGAAGCAGATACGACAGAGCTACCTCGGAAATCCCTTCACGTGACCTCTGGTCTGCAGAATAGAGGTCAGCAACTTTCTTAATTTGGAGCTTTCGTGACTGCAGGGATTACTCTTTGGTTCTTTCGGTAAAGTCACGTATAAAGATAAAATAATAAATTAAATAATAGCATACTACGACGTTTCGATTGCAACACAAGCAATCATCATCAGGTAAAAAAGAAATAGCAACAAAAATCTAACCAGAACACTATAGACAGACATATAAGCAGACAGACATCACAAAGATACACAGAGAGAGAACACGTATCGGCACAAAGAGAGAGATCGTCTCTGTGACGATACGTGTTCTCTCTCTGTGTATCTTCGTGATATCTGTCTGCTTATATGTCTGTCTATATGTCTGTCTATAGTTTTCTGGTTAGATTTTTGTTGCTATTTCATTTATACCTGATGATGATTGCTTGTGTTGCAATCGAAACGTCGTAGTATGCTATTATTTAATTTATTATTTTATCTTTATACGTGACTTTACCAAAAGATCCAAAGAAACAGCAACTTTCCCAACCCCTCTTCCACTGACAGTCATGTTTGTCGCTTGACACTCAAAGTTATTCTTTTTTTTATTCTCAGAGCTGGAACGCAGCCAATGTAAGTGCAGATCCAAATTCATTGTGATGGGGTTTCTGTTTTGGTGTCGTCGTTTATGGCCAGGCTGAAACCGTCAACTCTCTACACTCGAGGTGGCTGCCGGGATTCGAGCCCAGGTTTCTCGGCAGTTACGTCTCGGCACTCTGACCTTTTTAGCCACCTAGCCACCTCCCGTTTCTTTCGTGACAAAGTGAGCCAACGCCAAGACGTTGCAGTGTCAAGGGAATGCCCTTAAGAGGACGTAACAAGCACGCGAGGCCACTTCGCCAGCAGCAGTAGTAGTCGCAGCAGCAGCAGCGCATTAGTGACAGAACAGGGACGTTCACACCACCGTTAACCAGTGAAGCATGGCCCTTGCAGCTGCAGCGCAGCAGGGAGCCCTTTAAGGGAACACAGTGTCGTGATCAGCAAAATGATGAAGGGGCATCATCGCTCTTGCCGACATTGCCTCGGCTGCCCTCCTGTAGGGGCCGAGCTTTTAAAATGACGGTGTTGGTGGCGTCTCGTAAGTAGGCAGTTGGGCGGCTTTGAACGTTCATCATCGTCTTCGTCTGGCGATGGGAGGCGATCCCAACCCAACTATTTCACGCTCTCGCGCCGCGGGTAATGCCTTCAAACGATCGCGGCTGACGGGCGGCTCTCACGGCGTCGCTGGCGCCTCGGTCTCTCGGGTTCGCGGGCGGCGCAAGTTTTCCAAAGTTTTTTTTGGCGTTGGGAGGCCGCGCGAACGCGCACAGTAATTGCGCGCGCGTTACGAGGGTGCCCATAGGGCAAGAAACATGCCAAACTAGTTCTCGTATTTTCTGCAGCGGCAATACCTTTTGTGATTCTGAAGGGCATAAATTATGTAACGCGAAAGTCTTGGTGCGGAGGGCCCCGGTCACAGGAGAAACATAAAAGGCACTTGCGTTCGACATTGCGAGTTGAGGGCCGTGTGTTTTGCCGTGCGTGTTCATGCGCATGCACGTGCACGCGCCGTGGTTTATCGAGTATAATTTTTACACGCGCGTGTGCGTGATTTTTGGGGTTATTATGATTCAAGAGTCTCTTGATTTTCACACTTTTTATTTTTAATTTTCAATGCGGTACGCAAAAGAGTACTTTGAATGCGAGGTGGCTGAGTAGCTTTGAGGCACCACTGAGGTTCTGGGTTAGAAATCCAGGTTTTAACCGACCGGTGATTAAAACGGATTCTCACGTGTGGCGAGTTCATGATCTCAGCCCGATCACCAATAACGGCATGCAAAAAAGACCACTTTCAATTTGATTCTGCGTGTAATTTGGCCGAATTCTAGCACTAAGAATATGAAGAATACCGGTTTGACAGTCATGCAACGTACATTACTCCCAGTGGCGAAACAGGTGGGAGAGTGCTGCCCCCAAATGTGTTTGTTACAGGTGACTTGAAGGCATTTCAGAGATGACGCCTTGATATCTGCTTTGCATTTGTCATCTCGTGAGTCGACACCAATAGCAGGATCGGAATAATATTGCAGGGGCTGGTGGGGGGGGAATGTAGGACAAACATTAATATCCTACAACGGTAAAAAAAAATTGTACATTCTAAATGGCTGTAAGATCAATTGCTTTATTGCACTAGTGCTGTAGGGTTGTTGATCTCGCTGGAGGGCGTGGTTATGGCGTTTCATTCACGCGAGTGCTTTCTGCAGTCGAACCCCCGTGGGCAGGGCCACTGGAATCACTGGGAGGAGTCACGCCTGCTGCAGTTAGGGACTTCCTTCGTCACAACCCCCTCCACGACTAAGACGCGCTCCTGCATGCGTTCGGCGACATCCCAACGTTCTCCAACGCTTTCCACGCCCCCACATGACAGTTTTAACACGTAGGCTTTCGCGACCAATATTATTAATAACGGTTTTGGGGTTAGATCGCGTTCATACTCTTTGGTTTTTTCGGTAATTTTTTTAAAATAAATTTACTTTAATTTAAATAAATTTATTTAATTTTTTTACCTACGTGACCTTAACGAAAAAAAAACAAAGAGTATGAATCCTTGCAGTCAGGAAAACTTCAAATCTAAAATTAGATTGCGTTATTTATAAATGTGTCGCCAACCCTCCACCCCCCGACACGGCCAATCAGCAAAAAAATGTGTCACGTTGACAAAAGACAAATAGTTCACTACTTTAGCCCACCGGTGTGTTGAAGAGTGAATTCACAACATTTTCACTTTTTGAGACCACATGACACGGTGCGTTTCGTGGCCTCTAACACACCTGGCCCTCTCTGTGTCCTCCCTACGGGACTTGCGCCAAGTCCTCGTTTTAGGTTATAAGTTCACCGATTTCTTTTTTCCCAAATTGATGATGGCACACAATGGCCTCGGCATTTCAAGTGACGTCGGGGGGTGGTGGTTGTGGTGGTTGGGGGGGATCTTTAGCGTCCACTGTACGGTTAACACACTCAGATCTTTAGCGTCCACTGTACGGTTAACACACTCAGATTTGAACCGTGAACCAACCGCGGACAGCTGTGAACGGGCTTCCGCTGGACCGTGTTGCCACCAACATTCTCTACAACCAAATACAAACCAAATTTTTTTGGTTATTTTACCCAATAAGGGCCCCCTGAGCTAAATAGCTCTTTTACAGAAGCGACCTGCCCATCACAAGTGATCGCTCAACAAAGTGGCTTATCACCTGGAAATGAATACTCTTAAACGCGTGTTGATTCTAGATGTGGAGGGAACAAACGGAGGACCCTCGTAAAAATCCACGCCACCACGAGTAGAACATACAAACTCCAAACATGCTGGCGGCAGGGTCGGGATCAAATCCTCGACCTCCTGCATGCCAGGCGAGGTAGTTACCGTCTCGCCACCGCAGCGCCCCTTGCGATTATTTAGCACGCGTTCACACGGCGATCGCCGCTCTCTCCTCCTCCACGTGCGTTCCCCTCCCCTTGACAGGAAGCCGAAGATAGAGGAGGACGTTGACCCCAGCGAGGGACTCATGAAGATCCTCAAGCAGATGTACGACGACGGCGACGACGACATGAAGAGAACGATCAGCAAGGCGTGGGTGGAGTCACGCGAGAAGCAGACCCAGGGCGTGTAGGGGCGGCGTCGGCTGCGACGGCAGGTCGCCCCCCACACACGCGAGCTCGCAGCACGCGCAGTGGAGGAGCGCTGGGTTTTAATCCATCGCACCCGTCTTGCCAGCATCCCGGCCCACGCCCCCAATCCCACTCGTGTCATTACTGTGCGCGGTCTATTAGTCGCGTGATGTGTGCCCTCGGCATCGCGGTCGACGTTAACGATGCAGTTACGTTATTGGACAAATATTCGGAATCAGAATATTCATGCTGGAGGAATCCAATGGGCTCCAGAGCTCTTTTTCACAGATGTCCATACTAGGCCATGTGTGCCTGTGTCGCGGTCCGAATGTGCCAAATAAAAAAATATTTCTTCCGTATTGCTGAATTGGAAAGGCAATCGCAATATCCCCCCCCCCCACCGCACCACCCCTACACATAATGGCAGACCAATGCCAACTGCTGTCATCAGGAGGGTGGGTCCCATGGGCTAAGAAACACACGGAGCTCCCAGATGTTTGTTACGTTTCGGGCGCAGTATAAATCGAAGTTGCCCTGTATCTGTATTGAGTTGGGGGGAGGGCAGGGTGGCACCGGGTGAGTGGGAACACGTGGGAATCTCTACGTATGTATGTTAAACTTCTTTCGCACCGTACCTAGTCAACCGTTCTATTCGGAGGTGCGAGGGAGTAGGTCGGCAAACTAAACGCAAAAGCCGTTCTGAATTAATTAGTTTTTAATCTAGATGATAATTTAAAAGTGCGTAGCTCCAGTGACTTCCTAATATTGGACAGAACAACGTTCCAGACGGCTGCTGGCTGACGGGCACAACCTAAGTGTTCTTCCACATTGTGCTGCAAGTAAGGTGTGGCGATGCGGCTAGGGGTCAAGTTGTAAACTGTGAAAGCTTCCCGGTTGGCATCATTCGTATCGGAGTACGGAAGATGCGACCTACAGTTCGTGCCCAGGGTGAAGTACCTTGATAGAAGTTGGTGTCGTCGTTGCAGGCAAGCGTCGGGAAGCTTTAGTGGTCGAGTTGGAGAGAGAGAGAGAGTGAATGTTTCCATCGGGTCCTCATGCCCTTGCGGCTCAGACAAAAACAATTGCAGGCCACCTGCTCCTTCATCCAGGTGCTGCAATTAGTTTAAACAATCCGCAATCTCCACCGACAGGGCATTCGTCTCCAGCATCTCCACTGGCTGTCTGCGGGACACTGCCGCATCGATTTAGCGGGTTTCGTTTTCTTGTTTCGTATTCTTTAAACAATTTGGCATTCTGGGGGTTTTTTTCCTCCCGGAAATTTTACCCACGTTCTTCGGGTTTGTAAACATTGAGGGTTCATTGTTGCTGTTGTTGTTTCGTTCGGTTTCAATTGAGAGTCATTTATCTTTGCTTGGCATTGCATGGTGATTGTGGAAGGCTCTAGCAATTATTTTTTCGGTCAGACTCTCTGCAAGTTCCACGATCGCGCAGCAGATAAGCGCCGCCAGTTTGGAGTTGGGATTCCATCGAGTCCCCCCTTGCAAGCCCTCTATAAAGTTTTCGCTAAGTTTTATGTGCGCATCTTCTTCAAGAGCTTGCCCAGTGTCTAAGAACACGTGCAGGGGTGTTGGCAGGAGGTGTCATCGGTTATTAAAGGCCTATAAGTGGACTGGGGTGCTACAGTGGGGTTGCTGTGGTTAACGCAACTGGACTTTCGATCCACTGGTCACCGGTTTGTTCTTCCGATGCAAAAGTTGAAAGGATGGGAATTTTTCAAATCACCTTCGCCTCTGTTCTTCCGGCAGTATAAATGGGTGCTCCACAATTCGTGTATCAGCAGGTCACGTGTGGTGGGGTAAAGTGTGGGCCAGGGGCATGGGAATTCATTGACTGTCGATGTCACCCACTGAATGGTGGTACAAACCCCTAACTCGAGACGCTTGCCCATAGTTTCAAAAGCCACGCCGGAAGATAACCAGAAGATAAAATCGAACCCAGAAGTCTTGAGAGTGGAAGAGTAGGCCCAAATACCCTCTTAGAGGAGGGGCCCTCCATAGAGCCCCCCTGTGGGGGCCCTTCCATTCAATTCATAATCAACGTTTCTGTGTTTAGATCGCGTTATTTATAAATGTGTCGTAACCCTCCACCACCCGACACGGCCAATCAGTAAAAAAGTGTCACGTTGACAAAAGACAAATAGTTCACTGCTTTAGCCCACCGGTGTGTGGAAGCGTGAAACCACAACATTTACAATTTGAGTTGTATGACGTTTTGCTGGATGCAATTACCAGCGAAACGTCGTGGGCTAAAGCAGTGAACTATTTGTCTTTTGTCAACGTGACACTTTTTTGCTGATTGGCCGTGTCGGGTGGTGGAGGGTTACGACACATTTATAAATAACGCGATCTAAACCGAGAAACGTTGATTATGAATAATATTGGTCAAGATTTTTTTTTTTTACCAGGTAAGGCCCACTGAGCTATATATCTTTTTTTCAGAAGTGACCTGGCCATTACAGATGATGGCTCAACGAAGCGGCTTATCACATTTAGAAATGTGTAGCAGCGGCCAAATACTCTGATCCAGCGGTGGCTCCACGCGTGCAGCCATGAAGGCGGCGGCGGCGGCACGCGTCCCACCGAGAAGTCGACAGAGTGCCCGCAGTCTTCACCACCAACCGCGGCTGAGATCGTTTTTGGAACGCTTCTGCCATGGCCCCCCCACCCGCAACCCCGCCAGAGGTCATCCAAAGTTCGCCACTTTTATAAAAAAAAGTGTAAAAGCGTATAAAGGAATGTGTTGCCGCAATTGTAATCACCCGGCATCAAACTCCCCTGCCTGATTTATAATTATTTGATAATTACTGTGTAACTATGTAATACGATCCTGGGTAGTAAGTGTTATTTCCTAATTGCTTATGCCTCAAAAGTACAGAAAATGGTTATTATTCCCCACAAACTTTGCTTTTGTGACCAGGACAGCGATATTTTGAAATGTACCTATTTTCAATGAGAAAACGTGGTGTGCATTTGTGTCATTCTTTCATGTAAAGTTCTGGTCACAAAATCAAAGTTTGTGGGGAATAGTAGCCATTTTCTATACTTTTGAGGCATAAGCAATTAGGAAATAACACTTACTACCCAGGAACAAAAATCGTGTTACGTAGTGTATAATTTTCTAATGTTTGACATTTTTTTACGGGCAGCCTGTAGATAACTTCGAAGGCGCTGCTCCCTGATTGGGTTCGACTGGACAAGACGGTGTGCCGTGGCTACATTTAACGAGCGCTGAGTAAAGATAAAGTCAGCTCCAGGGGGCTGGGGGAGGGAAGAGAGGGCATGAAGGTAATTCTTATCACGCTGTCAAAAGGGACATGTTTGACTCAAGTAGCACAATTAGTCGCGTACTGATCCATCGGATAAAAAGGGGCGCCGTGATGGCGAGATGTTTTCTCCCTCGCCTGGTGTACAGGAGGTCGTGGGTTCGATCCCAGCCCTGACGCCTGCTGTATATTTGGACTTTGCGTGTTTTCCCCTGTGGTCTCGTGGATTTTTTTCCGGGTCCTCTGGTATTTGGCTACTATAAATTTCCACACGGTGCGTAGCTTTAATTTCGTGACCAGCTCGCTTCTGAAAAAAGAGATGTGGCTCGGCGTCATAGTTTAGTTTGAAATTGAGTACGGCTGAAGATGCACTGTCAAATTTCGCCAGTGAGAATCGCCTACGTTTTATTTGTACAAATTAATTCTGACATATGGATTTGGAGAACATTGTCCGTGTCGAAAACAGAATTCAAACCGTTAAGAGAGGTACGTGATACGTGGGCCTGAGCAGGACACATCGCAGCCAAGAGGGGGATGGTGGCTTATGGTCGAGAATAGTGACAGTGTGGCAGCCACGGAATGGAACGCATCCGTGATAACGTCTACCGCGGAGATGGAGCAATTAAACTGTTCCGGGTGCAGGTGCTGTGAGGAGTGTTGCGTTGCAGGTCTAAGATTTGTGACTGTTCGGGGAGGCCTTCATCCAGCAGCGGAGTGATCCTGGCTGGCCACGATTTATGACAAATTGCCGGCGGAGAGTTTGCTGGTGGAATCTTTTTGAACAAAGGGCAGGAAATTATATAATTAATTCATGCTTTCAATTGTGACCTCAAATTGTGCGCTAATTGCATTGTGGGAGCAGCGGTTTGTTTCACAATTACAATTTTGCAATGGAAACATCCATTATCATTTTACGTTGGGAAATTAACACTTTTAATGCAAGTGAACTAATTGTTTTGCAAACGATTGTATATGCTTCAGAGCTAGGTTAATCACAGGTTAATCTAATAATCTAGTACGGTAATAGGTTTGAAATTGTAGCATAGTTTTAGACTGCCAGTTCACGTGAAGCTGTTAACATGATGGTGTACACATATCGCTCATGCTTGAACGATACATTGGCCAGTTTAATTTGTCCATTCCGAGCCTTGCACTTATGAGGCCTTTTAGAATGCATCTAACTAGAGCTATGTAGCCCCTCCTGTTATGAAGCTTATGTATAACAAGAGACCCACTTGTAGGTTAATCTGGTTCTCAGATCTTGCTAGATAGTTGTTTACGGATGGCTTTAAACTAAAATTATGTACACAATCATTAAACCATGTGAGCATTGTGGTGTAATCAATATTGGCGTTTCCACAGGAACAGAATTTACAAGTGCAATGTAGGAATATTGGACGTGGCGATTGAATGGGCTCCTCTGTGCATCGCATCAACTCGCCATGTATAAAAGTTTAAAGGCGCAGCACTGCAATTGCTCGCTCGCTCCACTGCCGGCAGAAGGGTCTCCACGAGATGGAGCTCTCGGAGAGCCCCGATAGAATGAGCGCAACGAGTTCACAGGTGAATCTTACGTTATTAATTCGTGGTTACAGCTGCAATTCCGTTGCCATGGAAATCGACCATGTACAAAGCTGGAAAAAAACTAAATTAATGAGATTTTTTTTCCTTCTGGTTATTGTTGAAGATTGTATTTAAAAGGGGCATACATTTTCCCCAGGTTATGGCTTTTATTGACCTGTGGTGGTTTTTGAGCCATGACACGCCAGACTTGAATTCAGCCTCTCCCTCCTGCCCAGCCCACAGCTTTTAAAGCCCCCTTGCTTCTCGTGTAATTGTAAACTGATATTGCTAATGTCCAGCTAAAGCACACTGCATTTAGATAGCAGGATTCT